GCAGGGGGGAAATAGGGACCCCCCCCAGCCCCTGAGCACACCAGTAGAGCCCAGCGCTGTCCCAGTATGGGCCCAGCACTTGCAGTACGATGCCAGCCTGAGCCACTGCTCTTTAAGCACAATCCCAGTATGCGCCCAGTGCTCCCAGTACGGGCCCCAACGCTCCCAGTACGATGCCAGTCTAGGTCACAGCTCTCCCAATATGATCCCAATATGGGACCAAACACTCCCAATATAGCACCAGTGCTCCCAGTATGATGCCAGCCTGAGCTACAATTAAAGTAAGATCCCAGTATGAGCCCCAATGTTCCCCGCACAGCCCCAGTGCTCCCAGTATGAAGCCAGCCTGAGCCACAGCTCTTCAAGCACAATCCTAGCATGGGCTGCCACACTCCCAGTATGGGTCCAGTGCTCCCAGTATAGCGATGCCAGCCTGAGCTACCATTAAATTAAGATCCCAGTATGAGCCCCAATGTTCCTGGTACGGGCCCAGTGCTCCCAGTACCATGGCAGCCTGGGCTGCAGCTGTCTGAGTACAATCCCAGTATAGGTCCCAAGGCGCCAAGTGCAGCTCCAGTGCACTCACAGTGCTCCCAGTATGGGTCCCAGCACTCCCAGTACAGGCCCCAGTGCTCCCAGTAGGGCCCTGGCACTCCCAGCACCGACCACCAATGAACAGTTTCCACTCCACCCCTCCCTGGTGGCTCCTTGGGCTGAGTCCCAAAACCCCCAGGATCCCCCCCCAAAACGCCATCACCAGCCCGCCAGCACGTTTATTGGTGGTGGACACCTCAGGCCACAGGATCGCCCACCCCCCCAGGCCTCACCATCCCCTGGCACCACCACAGCTCCATCCCAAACCACCGCCACTGCTGCCATCCTGGAGGGTGTCACGTGGGGAGGGCACCAGAGCAGGGACACCCCAAAGGGCCGGTGGCCCATGGAGAAGTCCCCCTGGAGAAAAGGCCAGGGGAGGACTTTGCTGCAATGTTAAACCCCGTGGTCTGGTGCCATGGACGCGGCGCTGGAGATGCCCTGAACATGCCACAGCCCACGCTTCCGTCCGTGGTAGGTCACGCCGCAGCAGAAGCCACCCACACTGCTGGAGGGGGAGCTGCAGGAAGCCGTGGACTTGCCACTGTGCCCCTGCCTGAGCTGGCTTCAGTGGCTCTGTGCCACCTCTCCTGTCCTGGGTGACCACCGCAAGGGGTGGAGCCCAAGCCATGGACTAGCTGACCACGGCAGATGTTTCATGGACAATTTATGGACATTTGAAGGACAATTTCTGCAGACGAAGGGACCGATAGCTGCGTAGCTGTTGCAGGATGGGCAGGAGGTGGTGGCTGGTGGTGTGGCACGGGGTGGGACCAAGCAGGACCCTGCTGCAGTGGGATGCGTGGTACTGGTGGTCCTGGCTTTGGCTGGGCTGGACTTGAGCCGGTCCTCACCGCCGCGCAGTGTGTGTGTGGGATCGGTGACCGCAGCAGGTCTGCGGGAGGTCTCCAGGTCTCTGCCTGCCTCTTTGCCTGCCCCTGCCTCCGTCTCCCTTTCGGGCTGTGCGGCTCAGAAAGCTTTTTGCTCTTCTGCCAACACTGCCCTGTACCCCATCGCCTTCTACATCTCCTTTCTATGCCTCTCCCTTTCCAGCTCCCCACCTGCTATTATTTGATTCTTCCCACACTGCCTTCTTCCCCGCTGCTTGTGAAAATTGCATGTCTAGGTCTCCCTCTGCCCAGTGACCCATCTCTGTTTTCAGTGACTCACTCTGCTCTCAGAGCACCCCATTGCTCTTCCCATGTCCCTTCCCTGTGGCTGTCTATCCGGCTCCCTCTCCCAATATTTGACTTCTTACCTGTATGACCAGTATCCCGTTGCTTTCTAAATCTTCTCTCTATGTCTCCATTTATCCAGTTCCCTCTCTGTGTTTTTTAATTCTTCCTGCCTGTCCTCTACTTCATCACTTTTTAAATTCTGTTTCAATGTCTTTATTTATTTACTTACTTCACTGACCCTATTTCTTATTTTTTCCCCTCTCTTTTCTTAATCCCTTCACTTCTAAAATATCCTTTCTATGTTAACTTTTATTCAGTTTTCTCTCCCTATTTTTTAATATTTCCTCTCTGTACTTTTATGCTGTCACTTTTTAAATTTTCTTTTGATGTCTCTATTGATTTAGTTTGTTGTCGCATCTCCCCTGCCTTATCCCACAACTTATCCCCACTTACTACCTATACATTACATATGGCATTAATGATCAACTTGTGGGGTGGGGTTTTTTTGGTTTAGATTTTTTGGTTGTTGTGGCTTAAGTGTTCAGCTGCATATCAAATTATAACCGTAGGTCTTCCTGCTCAATTGCAGATCTACAACTAACTTGCATGAACAAAGTATATGTACAGAAAACGGGAAGCGTAAATGTTCAAGTATATTTCCCCCGCAACCTTGCATGCAATCATTTCTACACAACACTGAAGAGCTTTCATGTAGTCACTAATTTCTTAACCCCACTTAAGGAATTATATAAGGCCACATACAGTGAAGAAATAAATATACACAAGCTCTCAAAGCAAATACTACTATTAAAAAATCCCATCCAGGCACACTGTTGTTTCTAGAAACATAAAACTGTAGCTAGCCTCTTGCTGGAAGAAAAGTTCTGTAGCAATAACAGAGCATTACTCTCTCACAAGTAGCAAGTTATGATGACATAGCAGCAAATTAACAAATAATGTTTTTACAGCAATCATACTGTTGTTACACCTTTTAATTACAAGGGAACAAACTAATACGAACTCTTCAACTATTAATGCCCCCAAACTGCATGATGATCTTTGCACCTGGGAAGCACTGCAGAAACCTGACTGAAGTTCAAAGGTCGAGCCGTGTGGTTCTCAACACAGGGTTCAATCTGCATCCCATACACACTTGGAAAGCCTCGTAAATAAACGTGTATGAAGCGACCAACATCTCCCCCCACCACGCTTTCCCACCGAGAAGTTTATTGCACTCCAGCAAGCTTCGATTAGCTCTAGAGCCACATCCTAGAAGCACTGAAGTGGTTTTATTCACAGAAATAGCTCATCTGACTTCCACGGCAGAAGCTCTTGTACCAGCGTGGTGGCTAGGGTCAGGTCCTCTTCACAACTTACTGCTTGTTGACTACGGACACAGAATTTTTTATTTCTAAGTTAGGCTGCCTCACTTTTTACAAGTGATTTCATTTAAAACCGGGCAAAGCCCCATGTTATAA